TGCAGGTTCTTAGTGTTTCTCAATTTCAGTTTTTTTGAGATCATAATAAATGTTTGAAATGTAATCTTGCAGGTTACTGTCATCAGGTATAGCGGTTGTGAATTTTTTTTTGGGAGCTTATAAAGGGGTGTCTGTAATTGTGTACGGGGTGTCGCGGAGTTCTTTAATATATGGAATTGAATTGACAACCTCCGCCTTTATAAAATAGCGGGACTTCGGCATTAAAAACAGCCGTACTGAGCATGCGCTGCGCCAATTATCCAATCAGAAACCAGAATTTCTTGTATAAAATAATATTGCATATCCCGCCATATGAAAATCAGCGGAACACGAGACATGCGATTCACGAATTGCGTGAGTAAGCAATCAATTGCGTGGAAATTAGCTAATTTTGGGTTTCAGAGGTCAAAGAGCAAACAGCAACATTGCGTAAACGTTAAAGAAATAAATGAAAGCACTGAAAAATTATCATAATTATATAAATTTTCAGAATAAGAAAAGCTGTTAATTTGGCTTCACTATAAAACTTTTCCTCATTTTTTTTAAATTTCTAGTCCCGCCAGGCGGGACAGCGAGACCGCTAGCTACGCCACTGAATACATGGCCCTTTTGATTATTATAAAGTAAAACGACGCCATTTCCCATTCACACTAACACCGCTGGAAAAAAACGAAGCCCGCGCTTCCGGGAGCAAAATGCATAGCAACCGACCACCGTGACCCCCGCTCGGTACGCCCCTTGTTATACAGGGTGTCTAAAAAAAACCCAAAATCATTGAAATAACGTATTGTTCGAATTTCAATGCCGTAACACAAAGGATTTTGACAGGGTGATTAATTTGTTTTAAAAAATTAAAATATCTTTGTAAAGTGAACGTTTGTTTGCTCATGGGAATTTAAAAATGCTTCGTAAATTGTAACATGCGTAATATGCATTCGTGGGTTTAGTACTTTATGCCTGACATAACAAGTTTACGCTGAGTATTACCATTCATTATAGCAGTTATGTCAATCTTTTATGCACTCGTGGGATTAACTTAGTGCTAGGGCATTGAATATCGAACAATACGTCAATTTCAATGATTTTGGGTTTTTTGAGACACCCTGTACTGTAGGTTATTAATATATTCGTGAGGAGGGCGTTAAAAAGGGCAGCAGCTGAAACTTACATTTAATAAAACAAATTTCAATCGGCCGAATTCGGTTTCAATTATCTGATTATTATATTAACATTTCAACTTTAATATCAAGACAAAATACATTATACTGATGCGAGCAGGACTAGCAAATCCCCCGATATTTATGCCCGAATCGGCACAGCTAAACACTGGCAGCTTGGATTCATTTTTTGTACAAATATTTAGTTATGGAACAGCTGTTCCATGTAATTTTTTGTCATGTCCAATATCATTAGTCATACGTGAGCCATGGTTGACCTCAGTCAGGACTTGATACAACAAGCGATAAGCAGGCGTGTAGCTACAATCTCGGAAAAATATCTGTAGACTTTTCGAAAAATGCACCCAAATTTGAAAACATATGATGAAAATGTGAGCATTTTTCAATTAAAGCAACTATTTACCTTAACCCCCCCCCCCCCCCCCCCCCCCCCATAAAAACAAACAATGTTGGTTCATGTAAAGTAGATTTGCAACACATGTCACCCGTAAATACCAACATTGTATAAGGGGGGAGGGGGACAAAGTTTGAAAATTTAAGAAGTCTACTAATTTTTTTCCAGGATTGAAGCAGGCGTGTAGCCAGCCCCGAGTTTTTCAAGCCTTCTAAAAAATAGTTTTTAAAAACGTTTTTTAAAAAGTTTTAAAGAAAGTTTTAAAAGAGTTTTAAAAAGCAAAAAATGTTTAAAAGTTATATTTTTAAAAAAGTTAAAAAAATTTAAAAAGTTAAAAAAGTTAGGGTCAGGGTTAGTGGTTAGGGGTTAGTGGTTAGTGGTTAGTGGTTAGGGTTGAGGTTAGTGTTAGGTGCCGCGAATTTAGTATTATGATAAATTCAAAATGTGCCGCGAATTTATGATCATAACGATAAATTCGGACGTGTTTAAGAATTTACTCATATAGTAAATTCAAAAGTGGAGCTCATGCTGCTCAAACGAGTGGGAAGGTCCATGCAATCTTCTGGCTGTTCACGAACATGTTCCCCCGGAAAATTTTAAGGTCCGCGAAACGCTCTTTTATGTATTTTAAACACCTTTCATGGTAATCTGAAAGCCACGGATTTGATATTTTATGTCATATACGAAAACATTAAGTGGTTATTCCCCCCCCCCAGTTTCTCCTCCACTTTGAAAGAATTGGTCAGTACACCCTACCTCCACCCCCACCGCTCTGTTCCTACCCCCATTGGCAAGTCTATGTCGGCGAGCGCCACCGATTAGCTCGGGATCATTCATCTCCCGAATTTTAAATGCACGTTTGCTTTCCGAATATCGACTGTACACATTTTATTACAGACTTAAAGAAAAATTCAAGGGAATGTATTTTTAATACACTACACCGCGTAAAAGGGTCAACTTTTTAAATATAGGTATTGAGCAAATGTCACTCATTCAATCACGTCCGCCAGGAGGAGTAACATCGCCGACAACTGTTGCTAGCGTGAACTTTAAACTAATAATCGCGAAACGTAGAAGAACTAACCTGTAAGTGTAACACAGTCAGAAGGCAGAACTATCATGATATCGTTGTATCGGGTGCCCAATTAATGGACCTTTCACCTTTTGACTAAAATTTAAATCTCAACAAGTCTAGACAAAAATTTTATCACAGCTTGAAAGAGCATCACAAAATTAGTAATATTCCGAAGTTTCGTTGCGAAATGTTGTAAAATGCGGATAATATAGCCTTGCGAAGTTTGCAATTTTCAGTCATTTTGTATTACGCGCGGGAAATACATACCTCCTTCGGAAAAAGGGTATGTATTTCCCGTTTGTAATACAAAATGACTGAAAATGGCAAACTTCGCAAAGCTATATTATCCGCATTTTACAACATTTCGCAACGAAACTTCGGAATATTACTAATTTTGTGATGCTCTTTCAAGCTGTGATAAAATTTTTGTCTAGACTTGTTGAAATCTAAATTTTAGTCAAAAGGTGAAAGGTCCATTGCTGTTTTTGTAGCCTGCACACGACATACTATATGTTCTAAAAGTTCTAATTTTGCCTGCTTGATATGCAAAGCTGAAAACATCTTGCAGCTAATTATATAGAGAAGAAAACTAGTTGAACTGATAGTCTCAAAATTTATAAAGGCCGGCTATATGTAGCTTACATTCATTTAAAATACCATCTGATAATATTACTGGATATATTATCTACTGTACCTGTTTGATTCAAAACTTTGGTATGATCACGAAATAATATCGAGTCTCTGAAAGCTAGTGTCGCGTATTTTAATTATTAACTAATTTCAAAAATGAAAGAAAATGTACATCACCAACACATTCGATAAACGAAACTGAACATGACGCCATGCAAGTTGAGCCACGTAATGTACTGTACACCTATATGTTCGCATATTCAATCTTCACTGAGATTATGTCACTTTCGGAATCTCATCGCTATACCTCGAAATTATTCCTGTAGTTATACTTCGAATAACTCTATTCCCCCAAAAATGCTTTGATTGAAATTCGATCAAACGTTTTCCCGAAGACGTATAACTATCTATTTTTGCGAAACAGCTTCGCCTGCATTTAATATAAAAGAAGATAATATAACATTTTGTGTGGAAAAAATTAAAATTGTTAAATCGTATTATCAAATCTTTCAGACTAATATTTCATTACCTTTGGCAACCAGTATAAATATTTCCTTTTTCGTACATGAATCAGCTTGAATATGAATAACAGTCCAAAATAATAACAGATGATAAAATAAACAAACGTTTCTCGTTTTGCAGTACATTGAAACGCGATTTAATTAATTTTGCTTTGCCAAGATGATCTGAATCTATATCTGAACAATGTCGTCTGTTTACTCCAGTTTTAATCGACATGAATTAACCATGGCCAATGAGAAAAGGGTCATAGTTTATAATTTATACCGCAGGTGAATCTACATGTAGCATATTAGTGTATATACATAATTAAAATAAAAGTTTACTCTTGTACATTTTTTGCTACATTTATTAAAATTCCCAATATTGCGTCACAATCGCGTCGATTATCAGGTTTAGTTGAATAAGACTGATCTTACAATTTCGTCTGGAAGTTTGAACTAACTGCTCCGGTTTCTGACTATAGAATCTCCTCATTGCAGATAGATTACAATTATTTCAGGACTGGCAAAGTTAATAAATGTAAATGTAAAATATTATGTGCCCCTTCGCCCCCACACCCACTCCCACCACCCCCCTTTATGTACTGCCTGGGAGTGATGATAATTTTAAAGTGAGAGATAAATTTTTACTGAAATATGAAATACTCTAGTATGCTACACTCAATTCGATCCGCCAATATTAATTTCCGACGTATATGACGGGAAGATTAAATATTAAAGAACTTCGCGAGTATTTGCAGTAGACATACGAAAATACCACCAAAAAATTCCGCTTGATCGATACTATATATTCAGAAATATTCATACAATTTTATTGTTTCTCACTCAATTTCAAGCGAATTTCTTACCTTGAAATGATCAATGCGGTGAAATTTATGCAAATGACACATTATCAATTTTGCAGTTGCATTTTGAATGTTCCGCCTGATTCAAATGCTCGTCTTTTTGCTTCTTTTCCACGTATAATAATAACAAATATACCAAAAGAATCGCCATCTTCCATTCTATAGCTCGGAGCAGTCTCGGGAAATTGCGAAATAATCTAAGCCTATTATGGCAATTCTCGTGATCGGAAAGTGTTCGGCCAACTTCGGACGCCAAATTCTTGGTAAAGCATTACAGTTAGACTACGACATAGTCTGTGTGTAATGCACTGAGCTATAAATATATGGAGAGCGCAACTATAAATACAGAAATTGAAGCCGGAAGTCGCGCGCGGCCGCCATCTTACTGTGACCACCTTGAGGAGTGAGCTATTGTGATTAATACGGTATTTTCCACTGTTTTGTTCTGTTATCTCGCAATAGAGGAACAAATCAAGTCAAATATGGTATTTTAACCAAAAGCACATGTTCAAGAATGTTGGGGACCTCTTTTACATCCAAATAACTCAATCGTAAAGAAATGTGTCTATATTTTTGACGACGTTTCTGAGTGCGACTGAGATGAATCATGAATTTAGTCGTGACAACACCTTTCAAATGGGAATTTCTGATAGAGATCGGTGAATTATACCATAAGTTAACACATGAGAAATTGGTCATGAACTTTATTGTTTTGGAAATGGTGAATTTTATAGGGACAAGACTCATATTTGTTTCTATCGACCTAATCAACGCAAACAAATTATGTCGCTTGTGGGATTTGTTAAAGGAACAAATGATTCAGGATGGTAGAAAGAATAGCAGGTGCGTTGTAGCACAGTTAACTGTGGTTGTAGTGATCTTATTTATGTTAATGGTGGGTGCTTAAACGCAATGCCTTGTGAGAATATATCCCATCCCATCCCATCCCTGCTTGTGTAATATGTTCCTTATTATTAATTAAAGTCATAGTCATGATTAATTATCACTCTTCTGAGAAGACCTCAATGGTGTTTTATTCCAAAGAAGCAGATTAAAATTAATAAATTTGAAAGAAATTGAAAGTTGTAAAATAATGGTATCTCATTTCTGTGCTTTTTAGATCCTATAGAGACAGTATAAAGTGAAGATGGAAAAATGCTGCAAACAGTTACTTCAGTTGCATGTCTATATATGCATTATATTGCATTGTGTAAAAACAATTTAATTGTAAAGGGTCTCTAGTATTATAGGATCTGTGTGAAATTCCAGTAGTTTGTTGCTAAATACTCATTTAGTGTCTTTTGCCAAATAAAGTTTAACTGCCTTGTATGAGGTAAAAATGGTTGTAACAAAAATGCAGGTTGAAATCAAGCCTTCAAAAGCATTACACCCACATTAATATTTGCTCTATCTAATGCCAGATGATTTTACTCATTAGTTAATTACTGTAATACTGCAAGTGAACTGTTTAACAGAACTCTTCTATCTGTATACATGGTCATTACTCCACTGTTGTCACTGCTTTGTTTTTAGGAGCTTACCATTTAACTTTTGAGGGGGGGGGGAGTTTGAAAAAAAATTCCTGCAAGGCTATTCTGAACAAAAAAATACCTGCACTAACAAACTGAGGGAAAATATCCTGCCCCGTTATTTGGTGGGAAAATGTTGCAAAACACCATGGTTGCAGGGATCGATTTGACCAGTCACAGAAGATCAGCTGGTTTGATTTTCAGGGACTAGTGTAAGGTTAATTTCTTGTTGGAAAACTCCTCAAAGTGAGCTTCAAGAAATCCAAAATTTTATGGGGGGCATGCCCCCAGACCCTTCTAGAGGCTCCCACCTTTGATGGTCGACTCGGTTGTCTCAGAATCCTAGGTATCACTATGGCCTGATCTGCTGCCCTATGGTGCATACTTATTAGTTAAACTATGCACACATATGCTGCAAGTAGCTGCAGCAACACATACTTGCCGACTGGAACTTCTCCAGGTCCCCCACTAAACATGTCCCTTCCAGTTACACATCCTTACAGGGCCTTTACTAATAATCATTTTCAAAATCATGCAGACCTTTATCATTTAATCCATGACAAACTGCAAAGGATGAAGATATTACCCATATTTTCCTGCAACTTATCCAATATATAGTTCATTAAATATGCCTTCGTCCATTTAGTACTACTAAATTGTAAATTTCAACGTACTAAAACGCTGGTTTCTGACCATCAGAATTCTGTCAAATCTTCCCCCAAAGTCCAGGAAATGGCACATTTAAAAATTTCCTCGGACCTTCGGCCCTCGCTTTCAGCCCCCCCCCCCCAATCGAAAAGAGCTTCCTATGGCCCTTGCCTTAGAAGAGGCCCTGAACCAAATGTTATATATCTCATAGCAATATGTATTATTAAAAGCAATGCATGAAACTAGAAAACTCAACAAAAGATCCATACTCCCCTCACGGAGGAAGTTTCTGCCGTCCGGAGGGGAGAAAAAATTGTTTCTGATAACAGTAAATATATTAGGACATTCGAAGGGGGTAGGGGGGTTAACTTCCTATTTCCTCTGTGGGGGTGGTATGGATGTTTTCTGGAATGACCCAATAGTATAAGCTATTGGAAAAAAATGCTGCGAAAGAGAGTGGAAAAAAAATCATACATGGTGATGGGATAGAAAAAAACTTGCACATGATCCCAGAAAAAAACTCCCTGCCAGCAGTAAATCACCCCCTCCCCTCTCAAAAGTTAAATGGTCGGCCCCTCAATTCATTCATTTCTTAGTAGTTGTCTTTTTACTGTAAAATGACTAAAGTAAAAGTACTGTTACTGTAAAATTACTAAAGTAAAAGTTTGTAAGCAGTACTGTAGTGTATTTTAATGCAATTGTAATGTGTGTAGGTGTGTCAAGGCAGCAGTCAGTCTCATAAAATATACATATTATGCTGTTTATTAATTGATCTGTATTATTGAGGGCAGAACATATAACAATGTCACAATTTCTTGAAACCTAAAAGCCTGATTTACTCCATGAAGAAAAGACAAAGCTAAAATGATCTCAGCAGGTTGCAGTATTCAGTCAACAAACAATGTTTTATAACCAATACATTTTTTTATGATTAGGCTGATAGATTTCACACAGATCCTATAATACTAGAGACCCTTTACAATTAAATTGTTTTTACACAATGCAATATAATGCATATATCGACATGCAACTGAAAGTAACTGTTTGCAGCATTTTTCCATCTTCACTTTATACTGTCTCTATAGGATCTAAAAAGCACAGAAGTGAGATACCATTATTTTACAACTTTCAATTTCTTTCAAATTTATTAATTTTAATCTGCTTCTTTGGAATAAAACACCATTGAGGTCTTCTCAGAAGAGTGATAATTAATCATGACTATGACTTTAATAAAGAACATATTACACAAGCAGGGATGGGATGATATATATTCTCACAAGGCATTGCGTTTAAGCACCCACCATTAACATAAATAAGATCACTACAACGCACCTGCTATTCTTTCTACCATCCTGAATCATTTGTTCCTTTAACAAATCCCACAAGCGACATAATTTGTTTGCGTTGATTAGGTCGATAGAAACAAATATGAGTCTTGTCCATATAAAATTCACCATTTCCAAAACAATAAAGTTCATGACCAATTTCTCATGTGTTAACTTATGGTATAATTCACCGATCTCTATCAGAAATTCCCATTTGAAAGGTGTTGTCACGACTATATTCATGATTCATCTCAGTCGCACTCAGAAACGTCGTCAAAAATATAGACACATTTCTTTACGATTGAGTTCATTTGAATGTAAAAGAGGTCCCCAACATTCTTGAACATGTGCTTTTGGTTAAAATACCATATTTGACTTGATTTGTTCCTCTAGATCTATTGCGAGATAACAGAACAAAACAGTGGAAAATACCGTATTAATCACAATAGCTCACTCCTCAAGGTGGTCACAGTAAGATGGCGGCCGCGCGCGACTTCCGGCTTCAATTTCTGTATCTATAGTTGCGCTCTCCATATATTTATAGCTCAGTGGTGTAATGTGATAAGTGCCACGAGCGTCTGTGACGCAGGCTACATTACAGTTTCCTGGTAAAAGACTGCAGGAATCACTTCCGGAGTGTTTGTTTACCCTAGATACGGATTTTGATTGGCTTAGGCAGAAAAACAAATCTTTTAGAGCAATTTTCCTGATTATCGCGCACGGGAACGCACGAGCGTTGAAATGGGCTATTCCATTTAATATCCGTACCCCCCCTGTCGAGGATCCCTGGAATTCTTCAGGGGTAAAGGGTTTTGAGCTTGGAATTCTTCAGGGGTAAAGTGTTTTGAGCTTGGAATTCTTCAGGGGTAAAGTGTTTTGAGTTTGGAATTCTTCAGGGGTAAATGGTTTTGAGCTTGGAATTCTTCAGGGGTGAAGGGTTTTAAGCTTGGAATTCTTCAGGGGTAAAGAGGTTTGAGATTGAAATTTTTCAGAGCTTGGAATTCTTCAGGGGTGAAGGGTTTTGAGCTTGGAATTCTTCAGGGGTAAAAGGTTTTGAGCTTGAAATTCTTCAGGGGTAAAGGGCTTTGAGCCTGGAATTCTTTAGGGGTGAAGGGTTTTGAGCTTGGAATTCTTCAGGGGTAAAAGGTTTTGAGCTTGGAATTCCTCAGGGGTAAAGGGTTTTGAGCTTGGAATTTTGGAATTCTTCAGGGGTAAAAGGTTTTGAGCTTGGAATTCTTCAGGGGTAAAGAGTTTTGAGCTTGGAATTTTGGAATTCTTCAGGGGTAAACAGTTTTGAGCTTGGAATTCTTCAGGGGTATGACAATGAAAAACATGTATCCTCGACAGGGGGGTACGGATATTAAATGGAATAGCCCAATGTATATGATATTGTGTTGTAGTTTTGTTTGAATCGCATTCTGAAGACGTTTTTGGCTTTATTTTGCAAACTGATAGTGCTAGTAATGATGGAATGTCTTTGTATGAAGACAAGTATCTCAACCTGGCATTGGGAGTCGTGTCTGGAGTTTCAAGGCAGGTATTTGTATCATTTCTAGACAATTTCAATGTTTTGCCGTTGCCATGGCGTTGTAAATTTATTTGTATTTAGTATAGCTTCACTAGTACGACCAAGTATGTCCTCATATCGCTTTTTTGTGTTGAAATAATCGTTCCATACTGAAATTGACAAATATAAATGGTATTTATTTATATTGTTGACGAAAATTTATGGTGTTTTAGGCATAAAAATCTCTGATTCCTAGGCGAAGTAAAATGAGCCTTGAGCACATGTTTGGTTGTTTGTTACATACATAATAGCCAAGTATTCATACTTATATCTTACTAGTTGGCTCTTTTTATAATTTTATATGGCACCATGTCTATAAAAGTTTTTATTCGCACTGATGAATATATTGATCATGTTCCTATCTGCTGTTCCTGTTTCATAGCCTCAGGGAAGTAGAGTTCTGATGAGTCATGAGAACCCCACTCACCAACCCAGAGGGAAGGTAGGGGGATGAGTAGAGGTAGAGGGAAGCCCAGCCATTAGGACCTAAGGTTTCGAAAGCTACCTGTTTCAGGAGGTAGTTTCCTGGCCATACCAATACATATGCCCACATACAAATAACTCAAAAGTTATCCCCATATACTAATAAAAAAGGGTCTTGCAGTCCACCAACCTTGAGAGGTTGATTGCCTTTTAGTATAATATGCAGGTTTGCTAAAGGTCGACAGTGAGATTGAAAATTATTGGAGTGTAAAAACCTTATATCATGGTCTGTGGGCAATAGACATAATTTCTCGGGTTAGGTACAAAGCACTTATGGCGTTTGTGAATATGGTAGATCCTGTACTAAAGACTACAGCAATAAACTGCATCAACAACTGTACCAGCCGTCACAGAATATTGTTGTTGCAGACAAACACACTGTCAAATCAAGAAATAGGTTGGGGGTTAGGCAGTTCATGAAAGCTAGATGACCTACTATGTGGGGAATAAATCTGTGGGTTGCTGCAGACAATCCTAATGGTTATATTGCGACTTTGAAATTTATACAGGAAAAAGTCCAGATATTCATCGCAACAGATTTGGGTATGACGTGGTGATCTGTACTCAGTTTGGTTACAGTCTTAGGTCTTTTGTAGTACAATATAAAGGAAATATTTTCACCACATAATCCAATTATGTGCTTTGGCAAACATTACTGCTTTAGCAAACATTACTGCCTTGGAAAACATTACTTTTTTATAACTACTAATTATGATGATGCCAGCCCAACAACACTTGGTCATGCTATTTGCAAATATTTTCATGTTCTAGATTGTGAAAACAATCAATTTCTAAACAAATGAGTAGTGATTATTTCAAATTTGAATAGCATGACCAAATTTTGAGGCTGGTTATGCCACTAATAACTAAAGTCAATGGTGTAATGATTATCTAAGAATGTATGTAGTAATTGTAGAAATAAAGACATTTTGCTAATCATGATTTGAGTGTTCTTTTGTGGGTATCACAGACTTATTTTGGTGCCATACTATCTTTGGAGAGTAAGAAATATTGGAAATTTGTATTGATAACATGTTGCAGCAATAAAAAAGGACCTTTGATAAAGGTATTTGTTTCATTTGAGCACAAAATGTAAATTTTACTCCACTACCTAGTTTATATAAAAATTCAATAAAAATATTTCTATTTATGCTACATGCATGAAACTTCGGGTACTTGTAGATCATAACCGTGTCTTTCAGTCATACTCATAAATTTTTTTGACATATTTGAAATTTGAACCGCTAAATACATTTATGCATAATTGCAACATTTTTTTATATCATAATTTATGCAAATTTATGCGAGTAAATCGTTAACCAAGCTCCAGATGAAATTGAAATTGGTATTGTTGGAAAGCGGAAGTCCTCCTCTTTCGAACGATGCAATTTCTGTTTCCGTGCGATGTATAATTTGAGAGATATAAGCGTTTGAAACAACACCACTCGAAATTGGTACTTTTCGACCGGATGAGAATGAGTTAACGACCGTAAATGTATGGTAAGCTACATGTATACTTTATGGAAATATTGTCGAGTATTCTACGTCATGTTGATACTTTAACGTCTATATGACAGACATGATGATCTATTACCATAATTATTAATCTAAGGGTCGAATAATAATGTAATGCTAAATAATTAGAAACTAATCTTATGACGGCTTGTTGATATTCAGTTTTTCAATAACAAAATTGGTCGCGAACGCCGCTTAACAAGCTTATTTCGAGACAAAACAACTTTCCCGACGAATGTGCATGGAAAACGTGCTTACATTTCTACATTACTAAGGCAGCGTTTACACTGTACCGTTTTCGTAGCGTTCTCGTATTGTTCGAGAGAACTAGACTATTGTCTTGCGTTCCCTTGAGGATTAAGAACAATACGAGAACGCTACGAAAACGGTACAGTGTAAACGCTGCCTAAGATATAAGACGAGGATCGATCTTTTGTGTGTACGTAACACGCGCCCAAAACTAATGATTAATATACTTACGTTATGATTATATTCAAATTTTAAAAATATTTTATACGTTTTTCAAGCGGCAGACAAATTGGAAAATATGTTTATTGCTTTATCTGTAAAATAATGTTAAAATGCAAAGAGATTTTAGATAGAGAAAATAACGTCTGTAGCTTATTGCTGAATAAATTTTTGCAACATCGTGATCAATGATAATTGTATGTTGACAATATTTAATTATTATTTTCAATCCGTTGTGCTTTTCAATCGCCAGATACATTGAAAAAGTTGCTAATTGTGTAAACTACAAAATAACGCTAAAACAAAGTAATTTTGTGAAGAATGTCGGAAACATTTTAGGTTTTGAACCCTATTCATCGCAATTAAATACGCAAAATTGAAAAAAAAAGCATTTTAGCATCACGTATGTGATACGGGACTCGCAAGTGCCAAGATCTTGCTCCTTTAGCGAGGCGAGATCCCAACTTCCCTGGCTCATATGAACTTCATTAGCGGGCAATCCCGCTAAACCGCAGGCTAAAATGATTGAAGCAGTTTTCGTCAATACAATAAATAGCATTTTGAAAAATAGAAACAAATATTACGTTCCTGCCAAAAGTCGCGCACGGTGTTTCTACAGCCGCTTTCCAGGCTAGCCTGCCTCAAATAACAACTTGGCCCGGAAATGCGAGCTACCCGGCTTATACTTGGTCAGCCCGACTCATATGAACAGCCCCTTGGTAATTATAGTAGCATCTTTCAACCAAGATTGGTTGTAATAACAGCATTAGATATAATAGAGCGACGTGTGTATAAGATTTAAAAAATAGATCAAGAGGGTTTCGCTTGATTTTTATCTAGTTTTATTATTCAATACCCTATATTAAGAGATCAGTATTACTCATTTCACAATGACATATCTTTCTACCTTAATGTAATAATCTCATCTCTACATGCATTCATAATGCATGCATGTATTCGCATCAATGTTATTAAAATTAGTAGCCCTCTACACGAAGAAGGCAATTAAAATTATCTTAATCATTCCTTGTAGTTAATGCAATAACATTACGGATATATGAGAGCATTGTGTATGTGGTTTCACGAATTTTGTAATCTCCTTATGCAATGGCCCAATGAGAGAGATGTATTGATTTATTTACAACATTTTCGGTAACCCACGCTAAATGATTAAAATACAAGATAATGGAAACTGCATGCAAACAATTCATAATGACATCAACGTGTCGTCTCATATTTGGTCATTAATATTAAATACTAGCAGTTAATATCGCAAGGAAAGTGCTGCCTCACTCACAAGAGATCAAAGGCAGCATGCACAATTTTCTGAATAAGGGACTGTTTGTATGATCCCGCTTTGCCAGAACGAGATGTGAGGCGGGATTATTTTGATATATCGAAAAAAATTACGGTGCACGATACAGCAAAAAACTACATTATCTTCTAAAGCCTGATTTCCACTAGGCGGAATTTTGCGCGCGCAGCGGAAATTTTCTTTGTCTTTTCTAATTAGTTCCACCCAGTGGTTCCACCTGAGAAATCACAAGACAAAGAAAAATTCCGCTCCGCGCGCAAAACTCCGCCTAGTGGAAATCAGGCTTAAAGATAGATTATAGTTAACTGTAAACGAATCTTGAACCACAAAATTTTCTCTACAATATTTTAGTTGCATGCAGCATTTGAACTTTCGTTTGAAGTCACTTATTTCAATACGTCAAAATCACGTGCACACCCCGCCTTACGACATGTAGGAATAGTGCAATTTGAATAACAAACACCTTGCAGGTCAGCTAAATATTCTTCTTCTTTTTTGGCGTGGGAATGTTTATATGAATACTTTCAATGCTTATAATTTCTTGCTTTTGTATGTAATAATTACAATACTATCTGTGGCGAAGCTAGCCACAATAAAAGGTCATGCTATGCAAATGTTTAATTAATTGCATTATTCAAATATGCAGGTTTTTTAGCGCATAGCATGATCAGTTACCATGGCTACCTTGCCACTGAATACTGTATAAAGTCATATATAGAAAGACTAAGTCAGTTTTTGTCCCAATTTTCGTTTAAAAGACACCTTAATTTTAAGGCTGCCTCCACAGCAGAAGGACCGAACAGTGTCCGATTGGGAGACAAAATCAATTTGTTCACATTTTTGTTTAATTAATACGTCCGCAGCTTCAGATGATACCATTCATTGTACTCAGTTAGAGATTGTACTCAATGAGAACTGCAAAACTACTTTTAGATTATTTGTTTATGTTGCTTTGTGCCCGGTCGATGAGTGTATAGTGTCCAGTTTAGGATGTTTATAGCAATGCATGTGCTTTCAGCACGTTTTAAAACAAACGTCATTTGGACTGTTATACATGTTATACAATACGCACGTAATCAGGCTTATCAATAAAGGCTGATTTCCACTGTTGCGTTTTTCATACGTACGTATACGCGTGTAAAACCTTAAATCCGTTTAAATGTCACTCATGAAATAACCAAATAAATAAAGCAACAGAATTTAGTGCTCCGCAAGTTTTAGTATACATTTGTTTAACTTATTTGTAAAATATTTAAAAAATAGAAGGATTCAAAGTTTTACGTGCGTGTACGTGCGTATACAAAAAACGCAATAGTGGAAATCAGCCTTAAGATTCCCAGAGGAGGAATGAGGGTCTTCCCGAAATGCAACGCGCGAATCAGTGCGGCTCATTATTATTCAAGCTATTTATTCTCAACGCGCCGTTCGATTAAAAACTGTTGAAATATATTGCGAGTTTTGCCGTGAAGATCTCGTTTTCTCAAAGGTATGTTTTGATAATCTTTTTGTTTAGTTATTTAATAAAAGAAGTTTTGAATAATTTTGTATATATATCGCATTTTACTTATGTTAAATTCCCATTGTATTTATGCATGTTTTGGGTGTTGGAAAAGTGGCCTTGAAATATTCTGGAGTAAATTGTACTTTTTTACAAGGAAACTAAAATAAAATTACATCAGTGAACTCAAGAATGTTTACTCTTTATATTGATACTTTAAAACATGAATTTACTCCATAAAACCGAAGAGTTATCGCGGTTTGAAAATGAGCTATTTTTACTATTATCGAAAATTACCAAAAATAGCTCATTTTCAAACCGCGATAACTCTTCGGTTTTATGGAGTAAATTCATGTTTTAAAGTATCAATATAAAGAGTAAACATTCCTGAATTCACTGATATAATTTTATTTTAGTTTCCTTGTAAAAAAGTGCAATTTACTCCAGAATATTTCAAGGCTACTTTTCCGACACTCAAAACATGCAGTCAATACAATGGGAATTTAACATAAGTAAAATGCGATATATATATACAAAATTAGTCAAAACTTCTTTTATTAAATAACTAAACAAAAAGGTTATCGAAACATACCTTTGAGAAAGCGAGATCTTTACGGCAAAAATCGCAATATATTTCAACAGTTTTTAATCGAACAGCGCGTTGAGAATAAATAGCTTGAATAATAATGAGCCGCACTGATTCGCGCGTTGCATTTCGGGAAGACCCTCATTCCTCCTCTGTAAGATTTCTATCATAGCAACCCAGTGTGGGGATTGCTGTCTGTATTGTATATATATTATTAACTTACCAGCAGTTGTACAAGGTATAACGCCTGATTGTCCATTGTTAACACAATATGAAATAATCCTCATATATTCACCTGGCTGTGTTACTACATTTCCGGATATACTACATTTAGTATAATACTCGCAATTTCTTTCTTATAATATTATGTACATCTTCACTCTTTGTATAAGACATTCATTATTTGACAAATAGATCACTGACAGTGGGCTATTAAAACTGGCAATAAATCATGAAATCATACATGCAGATACAGCAGATCTAAATATAAATCATCATAAAATCAAAATATTGTGAATGTCAATCGTTTCCATCGTGAAAATCACACATCCGGACTAGAATCATGCGTGCAAATACAAATGTTTGACTTACTGCCCTCATTTAAAAAAACTTTCTGAAGCTTTAATTTTCCCCTGGAATTACGATAAACATCTGTACAGACACAAAATCGAGATCTCCACAATACATAACTCGCACGAAACTAACTGGGTCGTGTGGACTTCGGGGATCGGAAACATAGTGAATTCTAATAAGACTAGAACGATAACTCGACCGCCATCTTTGAAGCCAAATTGAAGGCTGCCATGAAGGCCAAAGGATGAAATTATGCCATCAAAAGAAAGCCGATTGTTTTACACAAAGCAGCTTTATTTGAACAAGAATAAAGGCTTAAATTAAAATAAACAACAACACTTGAACTTTACTCCAAAACAAGTTTGTTTTGACATGACGTTTGTTCAAGTTTCGTGAACGTAGAGAGATTTGAAGCTAACTTTTTGCGAGTTGAAGAGCGAAGTTTTCTTCGGCATGTTCAAATTTGCTAAACATTTCAAATATAAAGCTGATACCTCAAACGTTTCTGCAGCTAGTTGATGCAGACTACTTAGAACTGTCCAGAAAATCAAGTTTAAATCTTTGAAATTGAAATCTGCGCCCAAATTTTGCAAATTTTGAAATTTGGCGTACTTTTGCTAAGAAAAATAAAGTTACGAGGAAATTGAACTCTCCTCAGTTCTTTTTTGAAAGTCACAGCGCGCGATACTTCTCCCGGACTGGCAATCACAAATCGCAAATCACGGGGGGTTTCTACGGAAAAATCGTTTTATTCACTTTTGCGAGATGTAAAAAAACGCATAAAATAAACAACTATACCTAGACTTTTACAAAACAGGTATTGATCAGTGGATTTATGTTTTAAAGTTGCTTTTTTTAGTTAAAGAGCAAAGTTCGCTTCGGCACGTTCAACTAGTGTCGTTTTTATCAAACATGATACCTTTCAAACTTTCGCTGTTGTGAGATACAAAGCACTTCTAACCATCAAATAAATAGTATTTGGGATTATAAAATTGAAGTCTTTTGATGAAGAACGACTTTTGTTGCTCATTTTCGTCGAAAATAAACTTTGACTGAATTTTCCACTCCTAGAAACTCTCCTTAATCCTTTTTAAAGTACAATTATATACTCGCGCTTCATCTTGGCTGCAGGCAAGTATGGGCATGTTTACTTACAGTTATCGTTCCAGTATTAAATAGAGTTCAATGGAAAACCATAGGACGTCATGAATAGTGTGCAGCAATTAGTCGAAACGTTGATATTAAAATGAAAATGGAATTGTTCGGACTCTCTATTATCTTGTTAAATCGCATATGACATGAAATTTTTTATTTTCTTAATTGAAATAACTCTTTAAGCTGTAGAATAACCTATGTTTCAGTTTCTTGTTTTTATGGTTTGTTCCCGAGATATTTCAATTTGTTTGATATGTTAATTTATGACGTCAGGTTGGTTGCAAGCTCAACTTACATTTTTGTCCTGTATTTCATCACATTTACCAGTGAGTGAAGTTTGAAATTATTATCCTGGATGATAGCAGAGATATTCAACCATTTTAAGGAGCCTGCAACGAACGTGACGTCATAAATTAGTGGACATATTCACACTCATTTACATATCAAACAAATTGAAATATCTCGGGAACAAACCATAAAAACAAGAAACTGAAAAATAAGTTACACTACTGCTTAAAGAAAATAAGAAATTTCATGTCATATGCACTTTAATATTTGGTAAAAACAGAATACTATTTTTCAGTGAGCTCGCAACCGGATGTGAAACCGTATAAAATTTCTTCCGCCGTTTCGTTCGTTTTCGTAAAGAATTTGTACAAGTACATATTTTGCTGCGATCAAATCATGCGCGGCTCCGTGCGACAACAAAGGGCAGGTCGTAAAAATTTGAATGGAATTGCTAATTCGTTTCGCTTGCCTGCATGTGATCGGGTCCATGTACACGATAATATGCGCTTCAACTTGCAATGCAATTTACGCCATAATCGATCGAAATGTTGCTCGAGAGAATTTTGACCTTCAGAAAGACTCTATTAAAAGTGATCATTTACCGGTGTATACGCAGTTCTTAATATGAAGCTACCAAAGCCACCACCGCAATATATCCTAATTAACGCGAAGCTACTAGAACTACGACGGAGAAGGTTCACCGCCCACCTTGCGTCGAAATCCAAAGAGCCCATTTCCATCTTTTCGGATTCCAATGTCAATTCCAAACTCGACAAGTTTAACAACGTCATTCTTACAACTCTGGCTGTCCATGCTCCAGTCAGAATAACTAAGATCCAAAATCGCCGTTGTCCTTCATCACAATAGATATCAAAAACCAAATGTCCCACAGAGACCAACTCCACGTCGTTACAACAATTACATTTCCTGATATTATATAGATTTAATAATAGATTTGAAATAAATGATAAATATGTAAATAATTATACTTCTGATCTCATAGACAATAATATAGATTTCAAATAAACGTTATAAATAGGAATTTTAATATAACTATTCGTTCTGTAAATAGGTATTGAAAAACCCTCTCCGGGAATACTTCATTGAATTATAATAATAGCAATAATAGTAATAATAATAATAATAATAATAATAATTACTATAATTATTATTATTAATAATAATTATTATTAATTATTATTATTATTATTATTTATTATTATTACTGCATGTACTGAAATTCTGAGAAGAGTCATGCGAGCGCGATTAAAATTAAAATTTGACCGCCCCCCCTCGTATAAAAAACTTCTGAAGTTTAATTATTTCCCCGGAATTACGAGACAGATAGACACAAATCGAAATCTTGACTATACATAACTTGGCCAGAGAGACTAGACACAAATAAACGCAATGTCAAAATAGTGTGCTGCCTTTGGCAACAAATACGCGCCTAAACGCCTGCCTGACAAATCCTGAGGTTAGTCTATCCCTTTGATCTTGCACGTTAATGCGTCTATAGTTATTAATATTAAACCGATTTAATGAACAACTTAAGTACAGATATGCGACTTCCATGCATGCACGTATTTCGTTAGTTTTATAGTTTAAAGTGCTTATGCAATGAAATTCCTTTTAAAAATTCAAAATGACCAAATAAGTGTTGTTGATTCAAGTGAGGCCAAAAGCTACTGTTAAGAGTAAAGTAAAGTAGGCGGAAATTTTATTATTATTTTTTGTCTCTGATGATGTCGTAGACGACGAAAGCTAAGACGTTTTTAAACATTTTATATTTTTATAGTTTTATAATAAAATTTCCGCCTACTTTACTTTACTTTTAACAGTAGCTTTTGGCCTCACTTGAACCAACAACATTTATATAATGCAACTGAAGGACAACTTTGTACGTTTGACCAAATAAGATTTTTGCCAACTCTCCTAAGCCGGTTTTCCATTTGCGAATTTTTTCGTGCGAAGCGAATATTTCTTTCTCTTTAACCAATTAGTTCCAGATTAGACGGCTGGCCAAGTCATAATTTTGTATAACTGGATGGCAACTTTATGTTAGAAGCTGGTAACCGGCATTTTCTTATAGTTCATGAGCATTGGTGAACAAGACTATATGTGTTACCACTTCCGATTTTTGCTTTATAGCCAAAAACTTGAGAATTTTAAAATTTTGCCTATTAAATTACTATGATCGAAAAAAATGTAAAATCTCATGTTCTCTTATACGAAAAATAAACTATACCACTAGAAAGAGCGCAAAAAACTATATATAAGACAATTAAATGAGTTCTACGTTTTTCCAATCCTATTTCGAGTTTTTAATTCTAAAAAATGCAGAAATGACCAAATTAATGCTAATTAGTACCCATTTTGCCAACTTTAACCATCTTTAATTCAAAATCGGCTTGAAAATCGCACTAGTCGCTTAATTGTCTTTTATATAGTTTTTAGCGATATTTCTAGTGGTATAGTTTATTTTTTGTATAAGAGAACATGAAATTTTACATTTTTTGCCATCATAGTAATTTAATAGGCAAAATTTTAAAATTCTCAAATTTTTGGCTATAAAGAAAAATTCAGAAGTGGTAACATATACAGTCTTATGAATTTTTTCTGTGTTGGTGTAGTGTACTCAGGTGAATATGATATTTGTGGTGTTACTCTGAGTGTATATCCACACCGGGCGAGCTTGAAAAATATGCCCGGCCACGGTGGGATTCGAACCTACGACCTTTGGAATACTAGCCCAATGCTCTTCCAACTGAGCTACGCGGTCAGGACAGTTCGAGTAAGTGATATTTCGGAACAGTATCTAGTTCC